CCTGTCTGTTAATGTGCTTGGACACAGAGCTCTGCGAACAGCCAGCTTCTTTAGGAATCACCTTTTGTGTCTTGCCCTCCTTGTGCAAGGTGTCAATGATTGTCTTTTGGACAGCTGTTAAGTCAGAAGTCTTCCCCATGATTGTGGTGCCTTCAAAACAAGACTGAGGGACCTTTTAAAGGCCTTTGCAGGTGTTTTGAGTAAATCAGCTGATTAGAGTGGCAGCAGGTGTCTTCTATATTCAGCCTTTTCAGAATATTCTAATTTTTTGAGATACCAAATTTGGAGTTTTCATTAGTTGTCACTTATGAATATCAAATTTAAATGTAATGAACATTGGAAATACATTGGTCTGTGTGCATTGCATGAATATAATGTACAAGTTTCACGTTTTGAATGGAATTACTGAAATATTTTCAACCTTTTGATGATATTCTAATTTACTGGCCAGCACCTGTATGTCTCTTACCTGGCCAGGTGGGATTTCCCCGGAGGAGCTGGCCCAAGTGGCTGGGGAGAGGGAAGTCTGGGCCTCTCGAGTTAGGCTGCTGCCCCCGCGACCCGACTCCGGATAAGCGGAAGAAAATGAATGAATGGATGAATGAATGGACTCCGTTTGATGCAACCTACAGCTGTTAAGGCACACGGACTCACGTTGGACTCTAGAAAACATTGGTCCACAGAGGATTTTATCCATCGAGTGCCGGGGGTGCACAGCTATAAAACGTTACTAACTCCTTTTATTTGTGATTCAATTCAATTCAAAAATACTTTATTAATCCCAGAGGGAAATTAGAGGCTAGATGTGGCTGGAGATCTACAGAACTGTTGGTAGAACATTGGCAAACACTACACCGCCTGTTTGATCCTCATTCAGAATCCTTGAGCACGTTTTAAACTGCTTTGACTAACAGGGAATTTCAGCCTCTTTCCAGCAGTAAGCAAGGAATGTTTGGAGGGATGAGCTCTCTGATGGACACCTGCTGCTTTGAATTTGTGAACGTGAAATGCCTGCTAATGGTAATCACGTTAAAGTGAATCAAACATCCACAGAAACCATAAAAGTCACTGTTAAAAGAGGCAAGTATCAGTGGAGACGATCTTTAATAAGTTGTATTGTTGCCAGCAGCATTACTGAACTCAAAAGTCTATGACAGTGCTTAGCCATGTCTTCATATCCCACACTCCCAGCATTCCAGTTTTTTCGAGTTTTATCCTCAAAAACAACCCGAGGGGATTTTCTCAGCGAGGCTAATCCACCACCGTCCAACGTCTCTGTTGTTAGAAAGGTGCAGCTCAGCAGGAACTGCTGCAAAAATTGTTCTGATCCAAATCACTGAGAGCTCACTGTAACTGTTCACGCCTTTTTGTTGGTGCTGCATTAAAAAGTGGAAAATGGAACTCAAACACCAAAGCGACATCTAGTGTGTGGAGGTTGTAGTTGCAACAATAGAACAAGGTTTCCAGGCGGGGTGCCAGCTTTATTTGGTCCATCTGTTGTAGGCTTCACCTAAACTCACTCTGGTTTCATCTTTTATGGTCGCTCCTCTTCTAAAAAGGACGACATCTTCGGGGCTCTGAAGCAGCTGGTTGACATGCGTCCGCCATTTTCCACAGCACCAGCCTCGCTGTGCTGAGCAACCTGCAATGGTGCCCTCTACTGGCTGGTAGACATAAATATAAACCCAACGTTGTGCCCGTCGAAATAAAGATTTGATTATTTTTTTATTTAAATATAGCTTTTAAAGGAAATACTGCACACCTCTAAATGCCCAGTAAACGTATATTTTTAAATATAGCTTTTGTTTCAATTGTTTCATATCCAACCTTTAAATGAAGCGTCTCCAAGATAAATAAATTAAACGAGAGGTGATAGGACGTGTTGAGTGGCCAGGTTCTGAAAAAGCTCAGCTTAAACACGGCTGGGATAAATTTACAGCTAAATCTCATAAAACTAAACATTCTCTTGTAAAACATCACGAAGCAACTCTTAAGCCAGCGAGCAGAGTGTTGACGACAGATGAGAATTTAATACGTTGTGTTTGGTAACTTTATTGTTTTGGTAAATGCACGCAGCAACAAGTTACAAGATCGTGTTAACGAGCACAACACATGCACACCGACCAGTGCAGAGAGACACAGAACAAGTGAGAAAAGATCAGAGGGCAAAGGTCAGGATGACAGCTGGGGGGTGAGGGTGGGTGGGTGTGTGTGGGAGGGGAGGGGAGGGGGGAGTGGTGGGTGCAGTTCCAACAAAAACACGTCTGACCTTAGGATCATTTCACATAAAGCTCCGAGACAAACAGCAAAGTGCACTTTTACACAGAAAATCACACATTTTCCTTCACATCTGATCAAAGTTAATGAAGCTTTCTTCTTTTTGGTTAACAATTATTTAAATGTGACTGCAGATTATTCAGCATTTCATAATAGTTGTTAATTAACTTTGAGCAAAAAAATCTAAAAATAAAGGATCATAAGAAGAAAACACAACATCTAAATAAGCTTGGTCATGCATCATTGTAAGGTGAGAGCGGCTGTTGAAGGCGTGAGCTACGACCGACCCTAATGACCTCAGCACTTTGGCTTTAGACAACAACGTTAAGCTCTTGTGAGTAGAAAGGTACTCACATTTTCAGGTGCTTTTTCATCCATTTTACACAAAATGGGCCAATTATAAACAGTAAATATAAATTAAAAACATGAAATCATAAGTAAAATATTTACTTGGGAAGTAAAAATGTGAGAATAGGGGTCATTTTCTTCACTAGATGTATGATAAACTTCAATGCAACCATCAGAAATATTAAGCAGCTTTTTCACACAAACTCACAATAAAACAGATTTGAGAGTTGATGTTCAGACCCTCCTCTTCCCCCTCTCAGCAGCTGATAAACTACAGAAGAATCATGTGATCAGTCTGCAGAAGAAACTGTGACTTCAGAACAAAACGAGGTGCATAACTGATTTTGGTTGGCCCTACGTCTAACCCCCCCCCCCCCCCCCCCCAAAAATATACAAAAGAAGAAATTCATGTTAAAGAGTTTAAACATTTGGCTTCTCTGTTAAAATCATAAATAAATAAAAAACACTGATTTGTTTCCTTCATTCTGTGACTCACCCAAAGGATAAAGAAGTCTGGTAACAGCCCATTTTCAAACACACCGTGCATTTATCACCAGTAGAGTCATCAACCAAACCAAACTCATGGTCATTCCGCAGAGCTGATGTCAAGATGGGGGCGGGGCTACAGATATCATCAGTCAGCTGTCTTGAGTCTAATATTCTCATTTGGACTCCTCCCATGGGATCAGAATGAAGACACGTTTGTTTTGGTTCTGAACTTACAGCACGGAAACAACACGACGAATCCTACAGATCTAACATTTAACTCACATTAGGATATAAATGCAGCAAAAGAATGAGCCGCGTTTAACTCCTCCATCAAACACCTTCAGCACTAACCGGACACTAGAACATGCTTCAGAAACTACACACTCACAGTGGATCATACTCTCAGCAGCAGCTCACAGATGAAACCCACTATGGTTTCTGACCAATAAATACGTTTATAAATACACAAAAAGCTCCTCGTGATTCAGATCACTTCACCAGGATGAGTGCAAAGCTTTAGAGAGCAGCAACACTGAGATTGGACTTCTTGTCTTCTAACTTGGAATGTAACGTTTCAAAAACTCGTGATGCTTTGGCTGAACGTGACGCTTGGTCAGTCAGCGTGGATCCACTTCCTGTGACATCAGGATGATGTTCGCTGTAACAGCTTCAGTCGTGTGTGAGCCACAAAGG